CGCGAGCTTCTGTAAGTCACGTAATTCTAGTAAAGAAAAATAAAGAAAACGACTTTTCGATGGAATTTTCCGCAAGTTCTAAAAGTTGAGAGATCGATAGATCGGAAGGATTCTATCGTGTCATCATTATCTTTGGAGTTTCTTTGGAGCGGCTTTCGACGCGACATCGCCGCCATTCTCTCGGCCTTAGTCCTTTTGCGGTCTGAGCAATGTTTTGGTTTTGCGTAAGCCAATCAGATGACAGGAAATCATATATCCAGTTCTGGTTGTGGCCCGGACTGTACTATGAGGTATTCTTCGAAAAAATTATATTAATCACTGAGAAGGTTATAAAGACAGCTTGCAACTTGTAAGACAAATTGCAGGTTCTTTCCAGGTTAAGAGTGGAAAGGTTTTATTATTAGGCTAAAATAATATTTGAAATCCCGACATTTTTTCAAATCCACCAAGGGCAATCCGGGCAAAAAAGTTCACGCATGCTCATTACGTTTTTCCGCCCTGAAGATTTAAGTCTCTCCTTAATGTTAAATTTCATTTTTCCTTGCTTAGTTTTTTAAGAACCTATACGTCCACTTACAGCGATAGCCTGAAATGATTTGTGCCATAAGGCCTGGTGGTCGATGGATGATATTTAGAAAAAAGCCAAAGCAAATAAATGACAGATAGAGGTGTATATGTCTAGGTTACGGCAAGCTAGAATCTTTTCTTGTTGTGCATTAGGACTCGCTGAAGACGCTATGTTCAGTTCAAAGTTTTCTTCCTTATTTTAGAGCGAGGGCATTGACCACTGACATGTCTTTACGCATCCCGACGTTGTGTGGTATTATAACTCAGGTTATTAACGGAATCTCAATGGGTTGGTAGCTAACAGTTATTATTTTCCAATTCTGACGGTTGACTGCCAAATTTTGAAGTTTTTGACGGGTTGATCTCGGTGTTTACATGACGTCACCAGATTTCAAAGAAAGGAAATTATCGATTTTTTAAGTGTTTACCGACACGAGATATTACATCAGCTAAACACGTTTATTTGAAGACTGAATGTTCTGTTCGAAAGGTGGCTTTCGTTTGACGATAGATGACGCTTTAAAAATAGGTGACGATTGGGCGACGAGGCATTTAGATGGCGACCGAGAAAGCTCACATGTAGAAGGTATACCGTAACACGTTACCAACTTTGTAAGATTTTGCTATCGATTTTAAAGATTCCTCGCCTCAGAATGAATATTACTTTGATCTTTATGAACTCCTGAGGCGATGAATTCACGCTTTTGTAGAAAACTCAAAGACAGATGTTTCAGATGTTTCATGGCGTTTCCAAACAAAGCGTTACAAATTTGGAAAAACATTTTCCCCGAGTATCTCATATATGAAATATCGCACAGAACTGATTCTTTGCGAAAGTTTTTGCATACTTATCTTTCACTTTCTAGATTCGGTCTGGACTTTCTGTATAGCATGGTTTCGATTTTCATTCTGATTGCATGACAGTGAAGTGGAAATTACATAATCCAAATATAATATTATCTTCTGTATAAATTGATATCAACTGTGGTGTTTTGGAGGTTGTCTTAGTCTTTCAATTGATAAAATGTCGAAATATATATTTTGATGTATGAGCAAGTGGTAAGGTCATGTAATTTCTCAGGGCACGAAATTAACTTTTTTTCTCAAGAAGACATCTGGCTCCCAAATTTTCAAAAGTGGTCGCCAAGTCCAAAAAGTTAGTGGCCAATTTTTTTTTTCAGAAACAACAAAAACAAAAGCTAATATGAAAAAATGTGTTATATATGTATAGTAATGCCAAATTACAAGGTTTCCTAGCTTTACGAATACCTGACTCTTTTTTGTTGGATTTATTCTGTTTTCCATCACAGAACATCATCCAATTTGATGATCATGGATGTCCAGTTATGTCAAAGACTGGCATACAGTAGCTGTGCAAGTTATATTAGCCACATATATGCCAGGAAGTCAGCCTAAAATCATTAAAATCTTTCAAACAATTTCAGAAACTCAAGTTGAAAATTCCCTAAACTGTTGTTTGTAATGTGAACTTTAGGAAATATCTTACTGGACTACATATTGTGCGAGCTGCCATCACAACCGGAAAAACAAGACGTCCCTTTTACAAATATTAACTTGTCAAATCTCCATAAATGTTTGAATATATTTGCAGTAGTTCTTTCACGTCTCGTTTACAAAATCTAATTCATTTTAAATAGCCAAGGAAGAAAAAGTCCTAGCACAAAACGACTTTTTCAGGATGAGTAATCACATGGACATACGATATCCAAGTCAGAGGCTCCTTGGTAAACAAACGTAGTGGAAGATTACTTTACTACAACTACAAACTAGTAACTAGTTGCTTTTTTCCAGCAACCGCCAGAATGAAATAAACAGATCCTTATTTGTTTGTTTCAGCAATTTGTTCAGAGATATCTACCCGCGTTATCTGAACTATGTTTAATGCTATTTCATTTCTAAGCCATTGCTTAAACTGGATTTAGTGTTCCAGCATTACATGTACCTTACTAACAACAATAATTGCAATTTGTACCAACAACTGAGATACTGGAACTCACTCCATAATAAGGCTAAGTGAGAGCACGTGGAATCGGAAAAGTACGGAATGTTGTGAGCCCGCAATACGCGTTTTTAGCAAAAGGGACATTCAATCCACAATATACAAAGTTACTTTTGGAAAACCTAAGATGGCGGACGTTGACATGTTCACTTCGTAGAGTTCGTGACGATTTTGCTACAAACTTTTATCAGTCGTTCATACCGTCTATTCATCTACCTTCAAGCTTTATTTAATCGCACAATGCATAAAAGTAGGATGTACGTACGGAGCCTGAAGAGTTCTAGTCGCCAACGTGCCCTTTTTTCTATAGGGAGTGTTTTTTAAAAACAAGGGAACTGGGTTTTCCCGTTAAGGGATTCTTCAAAAGCTAGAGGTCCGTGAAGATAAGCTGAAATAGTGAAAATTGCCGTTTTATTTACCTGCATTGACGGTTGATGGTAAAAAAAAAAACACCGTTTTGTAGTATGATCTACAGGCTAGTAGATCGATTTAGAATCACGTTTATTGTAAAGAGCAAAAGCCAAACGCGAGATTCAAGTAAAAAATTTCTCAAAGCACAAGATGAGCAGGTAAAAGCTGTCAAAAATAATTTTTGTGGATGCACCTAACATGAACCTCCTACTTATTCTTTTGCAGAGAAAATAAATGGTAGCTGGCAAGTAAAGGGAAAAGTTTGTCCAGTCTAATTAATCTCTCTAAGATTACCTGTGCAATGTTTCTTGTCATAAGATAAGTAAAAACCATCTCTACAAGAGCACAGGTAGCTACCCGGGATATTTGTGCACAGCTGCTGGCAGTGAGCCAGTTTAACTGTGTCATTGGTCCCAGTTAGATTTTCAGTAGCGCATTCATCAATATCTGTTGGAAAAAATACGAGAATGTTCAGTACGTCGAGTTATAGGGAAGGAAGGGGTTGCAATGTAAATAATGATGTTTTACTGGGTCATTTAGATTGGCACCAACAATATTGATTGTCCCGCTATCAGGCCCATTGATTTTCATTAGTTTTGTATATTTACCTGTGCAAGTTTTGTTATTTTCCTCCAACCTGTATCCTTTTGAGCATGTGCAGTGGTAGTCACCCACAGTATTGATGCATTTTTCCTGACAACCATGAAAACTGCGACACTCGTCAATATCTAGAAGTAAAAAACACAAGTAAATAATAATAATAATAATGATAATAATAATAATAATAATAATAATAATAATAATAATAATAATGATAATAATAAAAATACAATAAAATGGGGATAATGCATGTAAATTTAGTTTGGAATGGAAACATAAAATTAAGTGAATAACAAACCGGGAGCCCAACTGCCTCCTTTTAATCACCCTTATAATTATATTCCTCGAGATACGTTGGTGATGAAAAAATTCAAAGCTCACAACTAACCACTTTAGCCTATAAGTAATTTCCTTTCTTTGCAATTTTGTTGTGCTTTGTTTAATGCAACCTCGTTGAGCCGACCAGTGATGGCAGAGGAGAATATAATATTTTTCAATGAAGAAGGAAACGGTTGTTATTTCCAAGTGCCAACGCAATAGGCCATTTCCGAGTCCCCCCGGGCCTCTGTATCAAAACGAGGTTAAGTGCTCAGCCTTTGATACATTTCCACAAGAAAGGTTGTGCACTTGGCCTCATTTTGAAAGTGAGTGTTTTTGGAACTCGGAAGTGGCCTATTGCAAAACACGTACCATTGGAGGGGTGAGCAAACAGTCGTGATTTGTTAGTAACGAGCAGATCAATGTAAGATACTAAAATTTCTTCTGCAAAACACTGGCAAAGCATAACGTAAACTGCCGCATATAAGCCCTGGTCTTAAACATCTTCGTAAGGGGTTTTATGAGGGCTTATAAACGGAGGGGCTTATACCCGGGGGAGGGCTTAAAACCGAATAAAGGGTTTATCAAAACAAACTTTAGCCATGCTAATCAAATGCTTTTGCATGTAGTAGCGGAGCTCCGCGCGCGAAGCGCGCCTGCGGAGCACCATGGGTAAATAAATCTACCCATTCCAGAAAAGTTGGTAATCACGTGACCGACCGACCGAGCGACCGAGCGACCGTCCGTCCGCACCACAGACATACCAATGTTTACTCTCACACTTTCTAGCTACTTTTGGAGCTCAGGAGAAAGCTGATTGCACATCAATGTTGTCATCAATTGACAGCTGTCAAAACAGGGTATCCGCTGACCAGTATCACCTAGCCGTATCGCAGGCTCAGGTGTCGACCCATCGAAGTCGAGTATTTTTTGAAGTTATCCGCTGACAATTTACTCGTTTTCAAATGATCGCAGGCTCACGTTTACTTTTTTTAAAATTCATATCAAATATGTTGTGTTTATGTCAGTATCGCACTGCACTATTGCGATTTTGGTTTCAAATTTCAAACTGACCTCAGACGCAAAAATTCAGCCAGTTTTTTTTAAAATACAGGCGGGGAAGACCTTTTCTTACCATGGTCGCGTGTTGGTCACGCTCCACGTCCAATTTTATGCTCTGATTGGTTAAAATTTGACAGGTGAGTTCATGCGTAAAATTTATGCAGCATCTTGAAAGTTGTTTACTTTGACAGCTGAAGCTGACAGAGTTTTGAGTCAACTTGTGATGTTTTTAACTGTCTTTTTCCACTGGATGTACAAAATGAAATACAGCTGCTATCAAGAGTGTTCTCTTATTCATGGCTGGTTTGTTTATTGGGTTTTTGGTTGAGAAGTGTGTCGCTTGTCAAAGCCGATAATCCGATTTCGGATGGCATCGTTTTTGTTTTTCACCTTGCTGGATGCGTACGAGAATTATGAAGGCTCAAACGATCCTTGGCTTACTTGATAGCTTTCAGGAGCTGCATCTCGAAATATGGTAAGCTTAAGTAATTATCGTATTTAGATATAATTTCATGAAGTCCAGCGGCTCAGTTTATGAAGCTAGTTTATGCACGTTTGTATTAAGATTTGACTGAGACACCGATCTGACCTAGTATGAGGTTTGATATAAGCTTAAGCTTACAGAACTTTAAAAAGCCTTTAGTCGATATTAATTCACCGTAAATAGAAAGAAAAAACTTTCCGAAGAATATTTAGTTATAATTTTGGCTGTAGAAAGAAAGCTTTGAGCGAATTTTTTGTCGTGAGTCATCTTTGAAAACAGCAAACACCGGGAAACCGGCGGCTTAAAACATAAACTTAATCTTTAAGCTTACTAGTAAAGACTTGAGGATTCTTAGCGACACTTAAATACTCATTTGTTTTCGTGAATGAAAATGTTGTCTCTGTAAATGTTCTACCGAATGATATTTCTTTATTGATTGTTGGTAGTCTCAAAAGTGTGATTTTCATCGCTTTGCCGTTTGTTTTCAGCCGTTCATAAACATCGCTTGCAGGAGTACTCAAAATGTCAAGCGTATCAACCGCTTTTTAAGATTACACATCGTTATAAAACCATTAATAAAAAGTTAGAACCGGATGGCCGTATAGGTGATTTTGGAAATTTTTTGAACGGTTTCGCTAATTAAAAGTCCACGCGTGCTTCGATGGTCGTGAATATTGAATGAATGCAATTTGTCTTGAAAGATTGTGAAATACTGCATTTTGTACGAGGTCTGTATGATTAAAACCGCGCCTCATAGTACTCTTTCTCCTCAGATGTGGTCTGTAAAAAATAATAAAAGATTGGTTTGCAAGAATTTGTAAACTTGTCGAAGGAAAAAATTCGGTCTGATTTGTTTTCCAAGAATTTGTTTTCCACGCCTTAATTATCTACTGTGATCAAGAGCCATTATTGCTCTTAAATGTGGCCGAAGACTATTTTTTGGGTGTACATATAGGGCTATATCAACTCGATACAAGATTTGTTTCACTCCAAAATCACTTAGCTTTTCCCTCACAAGTCACATGAATGTGCCCTTAAGGTCTCGGTAAAGGAAAACGAGGTGCCCACAGAAAAAAATTCTAGTCGCGCGAGTATTTTCGCTACAAAGGCAAGTTACATATCAAATTAAAGCTAAAAGACTAAATTACCTTATAAAAGATTTTATTTCATCGAATTTCAAAAGGTATTTAAGTTTTTTGTTCTCGAACTCAGAGGTATCGAGTTTACTGCTGAAGCTCCAGCCCTTTCGCGTTGTTAAATATTCACTTCCTTTTTATTGCATCTGATTGACAGATAAAAGACCTAAAAAAGTGTGTGAGGAAATTTGCAGATGTCTCGTGTTAGCGGAATTATTGCATTTCAAACTAAAAAGTCGAATCTCGAGCGCGATTTACGCAAAGAAACTGACATAAAATGAGTTACAAAGGGAAATCGGAAAATTCCTCACACCCTTTTTGAGTCTATATCATTATCCATCATATCTGAAAGTTTCAAAGCGATAGCTTAAAACCTGTCCCGACTGGAGGTCGGAGAATTTTGATTTTTGCGTCTAAAATAGAGTGAGAGAAAATCAGCTCTAAAGATTTAGCGCGAAGTCCACGCTTGGCTGGTTAGCTCAGAAAAGGCTCATTTTAGAAGGGTTAAAAAGCACTTTCTGATTTCCTTTTTCTGCCAAATTAAAATTTAGGACCCACTCATGCCAAAAATCCAAAAAAAACAAAATCGAGCAATGTACTAAAATTTTCATTTACCGAGACCTTAAGTTAACGATTTGCTTTAAGTTATAAATTTATCAATGGGAGCTTCGCTTTTAGCTGTGGCTAAATCTATATATTAGTTTTTTTAACCATGTTCCAAAACTTGATAATAAACCGAATTCATTTCAATACAATCTAGAAGGGCGCTTATAATCGTATGTATCTTTTTATTTTCAGGTAGATGGGCCTATAACTGAGAGGACTTATTAGTGCGGGGTGTATAAACGGTGGTTTACCATCTTTACGATATCGCAGTTTAATTTTGGGGGAATGGAGAGCAGCCATTGTGTGTTTCTCCTAAGATCCAACAGACTTCAAATTGCGAACGAGTAGAACATGTCTGCATGAGCATACCATTGATCTTAGGCAATAGGCCTTTTGCAATACTTGATCAAGTGATCAACTTTCGGTAAACACGAAAACATTTCGCTTTTGAAAAATTTTGTTAGGAGAAGCTGAAAGAGCATATTAAAATTAGGTAACCTGCAAATTTTCAGCTGTATATCTCAAAAGTAGCGATTGCAACGGCCGCCGAAAATTAGAGGATTTGTATGAGAAAAACAACTTTTGCCACCCAGTCACGCTTGAATGGTTTTCGATACAAATCCTTTTGAGATATAAGGCTGAAAATTTACAGGTTACCTAATTTTAATATGCTCTTTCAGCTCGTGCTAACAAAAATTTTTCAAAAGCAAACTGTTTCTGTGTTTACCGAAAGTTGATCTCGTGACCAACCATTGCAAAAGGCCTATTACCTACAGAATAGATAGATGATAGATTTAGTGTGTTAGGACGCAGCACTAGAAACATGTCACAGTTAAATCTACCTAAATGCAGATTATCAACTGGTCAACGCTGTTTCGCCTTTCGTGGGGCAAAAGAATACAACCTACTCCCAGAAAACATTCGGAACTTAAACAATATCTCAAGTTTTAAAAGGAAACTCGCCGTCCACTTTCTTGCAAACGCTTCTTAGATTGAATCAAATTTTTATGACTGTATATAAACTCATATAAATATTTCTTGTTGTAACAGATGTAAATATTTTTTCCCTATTGTAATTTTATCATTGTATCATTGTTATTCTTGTATATTACGACAGAATAGCCTCGTATAGAGGAGTCGTAATAAAGTGTATGATGATTATGATGAAATGCAATGATCGACCTTTAGATCACTCGAAACTTCGGAAAAAAACACATTTCCAGGAGACAGCCTTGGCTGATCATGTGCAACGTCATGACGAAATGACCATTGGATAGCCGCGAAATTCATTAGAAGTATCTTTTAACTACAACAACGGACCGGGGTGGCTTACAAATTACCCTGGAATTAGAAAAGGAATAGGCCCTGGTAATTTACACACTACACGTTTTGCTTTCAAGTGGTTGGTTAGAGCAGGTGCTTGACGGATATCATCAGTCTTTTACCTGAACATGTTCTTCCGTTACCGTCCAAGAGAAAACCCTGTTTGCAAAGGCAACTGTAACTGCCCGGCTTGTTTTCACATGAAGACCGAGTTTGTTCGCAAAAACCATTGCTGTTAGCGCATTCATCAACGTCTGTCGAAAAGGAAAATATATGTAAACTGAACTGGGAGCTGTCAGAAAGCGACAAATCAACAACTTTGCTTTTTTCCCCTTGGGGAGATATCTGGGACATGAGTATACTTGCGACTCATATTTATAGTGAAAAACTTGCTGGCGTAAGCCCGAAAAGGAAAGGTGTGGAATTTTATAATTGTTCTCAGTAAACATCCTGGTTTCTGATTGGCTTATTCAAATCAAGGAAGTTTCTCATACAAGTTGCACCCAAAACCTACCTTCATCCTACAACGACTCCACCAACCTCTAATAAACATAATAACTCCAACGTAGCATGATAACTCCAGGCCATAGAACTATTTAAGTGAAGTTGAGGGGCAATTGAGGAGCCGCTGAGCAGCGGGGTTATGTCTAGGGTTTGATCGTTTCTCCTCACCACAGAAAAGGACATACGCCTATCAACCTCGTAAGTCTTCCTTGTATAAGAGCACTCCCATGCATAAAATACCAAAGAGGTCCTTAGAGTCCGGGTAAAACATACCTTGGCACTTGCCATTAACTTTGTGAAATCCACGTCGGCATAAGCAGTAATAAGAACCAGGTGCATTGACACACTTATCCTGTCCACAAACTCCCCGAAAACACTCGTTAACATCTAGAAGGGAAATTAAAAAGAGGAATAAATAGCTTTAATGAAACTAAGACTAGCGCAAGCACTGAGGAAAAATAATCAGCAAATCCTGCGAACTTGATTAATATATGTTAATCAATTTATAAATTAATCTTTGAAACATAGAATCGACGATTATGATGGTATGGGCTCGAGTGGTATCTTTCAGATTAGTGTACAGGGGAAGAGAACCGTCGTATTAGGCAAATAATAGGGAGCTTAAGCAAAGACGTTTTTGAACGACGCACGTTTTCAGCCAAGCATCTCATCTTGTTTAATTTTCTTGGCTAAAATGCCAACAACATCACAGCCCAAACTTCAGTCCCCAGGAAACGAAAATTGTGTTGGGCTTCGACCGAGAAATGGCTTTATCTGCATGAAGGTATGCGAAGCCGAGTAGATCAGACTCCATTAAGACGCTTCACTCTCCGCAGTACAGGCGTTGTAAATCTCACAGTGGTTTCTCTTTGCAGGCACACTAACTTCCAACGTCGTTGTGCTAAGAAGTAGCCAAGCAGAAGCATTGTACTCCTTGCGTTGTGCGCAAGACTTTCTCAAGATGTGCATTAGATCTTATAATATTTCTCAAAACTACTACTCTAGCTTGTTTTTTTGGTAGCCGAAGCCAGCGAAGTTAGTGGGCTGCTGCCGGCTCCACACCCTGGTGTCCTTCGTTCATGTCTGCAACAGACAACAGGTGGTTAGTGAATTCTTTAGTTCCGGTGGCATAGGGCGCTGAAACGTTTTCCCGAAGATAAGGCGCAAAGGGCGACTTGTTTTATCCATGCTAGGGGCTCTAAGCCTAGCGGTATACACTGATCTCTCAACAAAAAATCGCACGTCGTTTTCTTGCAGGAATTGACAGCGAATAATGCCATTCTTTTCATGTTTTATTTTTCTTCACAATTTCATGAAATATTTAATCGCTGTCCGTGACATCAAAATTGCCTCGGAGGGAATTGATTTTTTCCGTCATTTATGTGTGTACGTGTGTGTACGTGTGTGGTTGATTTCATGCTCCATGCCATACTTTTCATGACGTTTCTCTATATCTTCTTAGACCAGTCATTTTTGACCTATTAATAATTGCAGCAATTTCTCATTTTTAAGCACTTCGACTTAACCTGTAAAGGAACATATTAAAAGCCATTGAAGTTGCAAGCATGAAAACAGCTCCAACTAGGAGTTGCTAAATCCCTTTTCCTTATAGCACGAAAGTCTGGCTCTAAATCGGAAGTTGCTGCCAAGCTGCAAGTCCTTTTTTCGAGCCTAAGGGTACACTCTCAACCAAGTTCAAAATACCAGTTATTTTCTTTAAATACGACATTATTCAATATTAAATATATGATAATATTAAGACGCAACGAAAAGAAAGCCTGAAAAAAATCCAGGCTTGACGAGATTCGAACCCTGACCTTTGCTATGCCGTTGCAGCGCTCTAACTAATTGGGCCAGCTGGTAGCTGGTCGTTGATTCGTGATATATCCGGGAAGGATCAAGATAAAATGATGCATATATTAATTTCATATATTGGAACTGCGAAATGAAGAAATAAATACAAAGAAGACGCAGGTAAAGACGAAACTTCAGTGTCTTTGAAAAAGATAGTTGCGAAAAGAAAGCCTGGAAAATTGAGATATATTCTCACTAAGGCCATTGGCAAACAATGTCTGTAATGCTATAGTAAGCCATGGGAGACGCAGCCCGAGGCGGAAGCAGCAGTAAGGAGTTCCTAAGAGAGCTAATTCATCTGCCGGGAGGTGGGTGGAGTGCTTAAAAAAGTTTACGAAACACCGAAAAGACTGATCAAGCCCTCAAGGAGGAGAAATTGGCTTCAAGTACGGAATACACATACGCGGCGAGTTAGTATTACGAAATAGTCTAAGGCAATTTTTTTGCGTATTCCCCAGATGGAGTAGTGATATATTCTTACAGGACCATCCGCCAAAAATGCATGTAATATTACAAAGATAAGGGAGATCGACTTAGCCTTTCGGCGGTAAGTCTCCAGGCACCTCCTCAGAAATTAAAATCCCTAAATTCTACAACCTCTACATGTACACTCCACGAAAATTGAAAAAGCAAAATCCACTTTTGTCAAGGCAAACTAACCATTTCAACCACAACCTCGTTACCAGGATTCACTCCTACTTGTACAAACATACTGGACGGGAACGGGATCGCGATGCCCAGGGGCTTCAAGTACCCCTCCAAAGAAAGCAGCTCTAAAAATGGAAGGACTATACCTGCAGAAATCTGTTATTTCCCTGTACTTGTGATCAACCCCCCACCCCCCAAACAAAAAAAAAAAAAAACAGGAAAGCCCTTCAAGTTCATTTCCAGAGTGCCAGCACTCAGATGATTTTTTGAGACTTGAGTTTGTAGTAATTGCTTGTTTACATCTTTTAGATATCTATATATGCCCATGGAAAAAACTTCGTCGATTTCACTAACCGTTAAGTAATGAATCCCAAGGAAGACAAGATATTTTTATGTGTTGAGGCTGCTCTACTATGTCAATGTGAGAAAAAACGGCGCCAGCTTGATGCAGTATTTTTGGATTATACAGCAAGGCGTTTGACTCTTTGTCACTTAACTGTTTGCTGAGGGAGTTGTTTGCTGTTGCTGTAAGAGGAAATTTGCTCTTCTGGCTTAGAAGCTCTTTGACAGATCGCTGGGACAGGACAGTTATTGATGGACAGTCATCTACTTGGAAACCTGTTTTGTTCCGTGTACCTCAAGGGTCTATTTTTAGGCCGTTGTTGTTATGTTTTTCATCTATGTAAACAATGCCCCAAGTGTTACTGAGGCTAGTACTATACTGTGAAGTTATATACAGATGATATGGAATGTTATAGAATTATTACCGATTATTCTTATGAAAGGCAATTACAGAGTGAACTATCAAGTTAAAAAAGCTGGAGTTCTGATCACTTCATGAAATTTAACATTAACACGTTGCTATTACAAACAAAAAGAATATCCTACAGACGTACGTCATATAATCTGAATGGATCGCGAATTACAGATGTAACAACTGAGAAGGATCTTGGTGTCCACATTTCCT